TGTAGCAGCTTCCGCAATAAACGAGACTTGATCAGAAACCTGTCTTGTCTCCATCTCTCGTGTCCCCTGTCCCCTCTCATCCTCGCTCCCCCTCTAGGGTCTCCGTTGACTTACCCGCGGGCCGGGACACTCCACAGTTGAGAAGAATAGTGTGAGCTACCCAATGACCAGTATGTTACATATTATGTTGCTTCTGATTGTGACTGCAATGCCTGAATTAACCTCCCTATGATTTAGAAGCAAATGGATCTGAATTTTATTATAGATATGACTTCCATGCTCTTCTCCACTGAAGCTCAGGGATTCACTCCCAGAGGTGCTATAATTACTATGCAGATTGCTTTCCTATCATTTGATTGAACCCTCAGGAAGAAAGGTCATTAATGTAACTTTTTCCTCAATTTCTCATTTTAGAAAACCTGGAAGCAGAGTCACACATAATTCAGTATGATTCAGCCCACTGAGCCACTCTCCACAGGAAGTATAAATAGAGCACAGAAGCTCTGAAATGGATTTTAACCACAGAGCCAGAGGAAATTCTCAAAAGATCTATTATCTTGGTGATAAGTTCCTCAAGTGGAGCTGGGTCCACAGCTGCCATTCAAGGTCTGTATTCCTCAGAGTTCTCTTCCAGCAACTTTACATTCCTTGTCATCTACCCAGTGGTGTAAAGCAGAGGGAGGCTTTTCTCCAGCTTATGGTAAGGGTTGTAGGTGTGTACTGCAGAGGCTAATTCATATATCATTCTATGGCTAATTCATATATCATTCTATGGCTCTCTTCACAGAGGAAACTGCAGTTTATATCAGCAAGTTATGTGTTTCCTAACATGCTGCCCATGTCATTCTAGCCCCAGTGCCCATTCAGCATCAGCCACCATCATAAGGTAAGTTTGTTGAAGGCAAGAAACTTATCAGGCCAACCTCTGCACCATGGTTTTTAGCTCACAGTGACCTAAATTGGATACAGTCTAGTGATTCCATTCCATTCTCCTTACCCAGCCAACATACCAAGACTAATATAAAAAGACACTTATTGAAGTATCAGTAAGGAGGACTTCTGGGAAGATGGCAGCATGGTAAGCAGCAGATGGGGGGCCTCTCTGAGGTTTTGTGTCCAGGCACTGGCATATAGCAACGTGAGGAAGAGAAGGAGGAAAATGGGTCCCCAGGACCCAGGAAGGATCTGAAGCAAGAATTTAGGCCCATGGGGAGAGCCAAGAGAGTGAGTCTTCCAAAGAAGGAGGTAAAAGGTGTCACCTCCTACCTAAGCCTGAACTCACTGCGTGGGAAAGACAGCTCAAACTTGCCCATGAACTGTGACTACTGGTGATCCTGGCGACCCCAGAGACCTACATGGATTAATGCATCAGTGGAGCAGAGTGGTGGACTCAGTGGCCTGCAGTGGTTGGTGAGTTTTTGGGGCTTGGATGTTCCTCAGGAGATAATCATTGGCTGGTAGCCATCTTGGAGAAGGGCCAACTGAGCTCGAAACCCAGAATAGCTGCAGGCTCGCTCCATCTAGTGGCTTCCAGTGTAGTGTCAGAGTTCAAATCAGAAGGAGGTCAGAGAGTCCAGTTTAAGCTAGTGGGGGGCGTCATGTGGACTGTTGCAAGCTCCACAGGCCCAATTCCAGCCTCACAGAAATCAGAAATCAGCCTGAACGTCAGTGGAACTAAAAGTTCAAGCTTGCTGGGATTATCCACTACCCAGCTGTAAAGCAACAGCTGGCTTGATGGGATTAATCAACTCAAATTTGTATGTTGCCCACATTGTCTACCAGTAACAGCGGAGACACACCTTGAAGTGTACATTTTTTTCTTCTTCTTTTCTTTTTGTTTTCACTTTTTCTTTTCTTATTTTTTCTTGTTTGTTCTTATTTTTATGAGTGTGAACATGGTTTCTAGGGGTTTTTTTGTTATTGTTGTTTTGTTCTGTCCTTGTTTTTATTTCTTCCTTCTCTCTTTATCTCCTATCTTCTTCACCAGTTTCCCAAAATTTGCATAAACTTCTTTTGTCCTCTAGCCTTGCTTCTAACTTCATCCTCTTCTTCTATTTCTTTATTTTCCCCCTACCTCTTTTTAAATTTTCTTTCCTGAGGGTAAAATCACTATACTGAGGGCTTATTTACTGCGAACATTTTCCTGGTTTGTTTTAGATTTTGTTATATAACCACAAATCTAGTTCATATAGTCAAAGGTGACAAATTAATAGTTACCACAGTTTGTCATTTTCTAGGCTGTGTTTGATGCTATTGTTGTTACTAATTGTACTAATTTAGCCAAGGTGACATAATTGTTCTAATCAGCTGTTCTTCTTGGTATACCAAGACTGAGATCACCTAAGGGTTTATAAATGATATTATAGGCCACTGCCAAAGAACCAGGGGGTTGGCCAGGTAGGCAGCAACTTCTCATCCCTACTAAATTGAAGAGGTAGGATGTTGCAACAGACTCAAAACCCAAAAGCCAGCTACAGCTGGAAGACCCCTCTGAGAAGTAGTCATTTCCTAAGGGTTCTCAATACTAGCAAAGATACTAATAAAGATATTTACCATAAGTAATTTATAAGCATCAACCCAGGAATTAAGTTAAAAACAAAACAAAACAAAAAAAGAAAATGAGAAGACACTTAAACAAGATACAACCCCAGATTTCCAGCTCACCAAAGGCAAACCCAGAGGGCAATGAGGTGGAACAATCTAAAAGCCACCCATCTGAACTCTGAATGGTAGCAGCAGAAGTAACAAAGCAGATGAAAGAGTCTCTAGAAAAAAATCAAATCAGAAATAATTTCTCAGATAACTACAGAGATGGTGACTAGAAAGAAAGACATGTTTGGTGACTCTAGAGCAGATACAGATAAAAAACAGAGGAGCTTAGGAAAATGATAGAAACCATGAATGCCCAGCATAGGAAAGAAATGGAATCCATGAAACACGTTCAAGCAGATGTACAGGAGATTAAAAATTTCCTTATCAAATATAGAAGGCAGGATTGTGTTGAAGTATTAGAAAAGTAGGAGACCAGAAAGTCTAAATGTCTAATAACAAAAGATTGGTTGAGCATCTATGAGTATCATGGGATTCCATGTATCCAATAGAGAGAAATAAGTAAGTTAACATGTACAGATATGAAACGGCTTCAAAATATATTAAGGGAAAAAAGCAAGGTGTGAAAAGTATGCATAATAGGAGCATTTTAGATGAACACAAAATGATTTGTGTATATAGATTAGATATTATATAAATATTATATATGAATTTTATGCTATGCAGCTTTTTCTAGAATATGCAAGAAAGTAACACTAGCAGGGGCTTCGAGGGAGATAAATTGTACTTTTATCCTTTCATATAATTTTTAATGCTGAATATAATGCTCTTAATTTTATTTTTATAACATTATCCCCAAATCATCCTGACCATATGTTATGGTTGGCATCCTAAATGTCCCCCAAAAGGCTCATCGTGTTGATGGCATGTGGCTTTTGGAAATTGATCAGATCATGTAGGCTCTAACTTCATCAAATTGATTACTCTATTGATGAATTCATTAGCTGAATGGGCTTATTAGGAAGGGGGGCCCAATTAGATGAAATGGGTAACTGGGGGAATGGCTTTGAAGGGTTTTTTTGCCCCTGAACCCTTCCTGACTCTCTATTCTGTCATCCTTTGTGCTCCTGGATGCCATGAGGTAAGCAACTTTCCTCTGCCACATACTTCCTCCATGATGTTCTGCCTCACCCTGGGCCCAGAAACAATGGAGCCAAGAGACTGAACCTCTGAAACAGTGAACCAAAATAAATTTTTTCTCATTTAAGTTGCATTTCGTCACAGTGACAAATGGAATGACTAACACCTCATTCCTTAAGGATTTTCCTCTTAGTTACTTTTCTCATTGCTGAGAATACTGAATACCCACAGGTTTAAGAAGGTAAGGTTTATTTCAGCTCACAGTTTGTGGAAGTTTCAGCCTATAGTCAGCTGGCTGTAGGTCAGGGCAGCATGGCAGAGAGGCATGACAGAGGAGAAACAGTCCATGGCAGGGTACACAGAAAGCAGCAGCAGCAAGCAGCAGCCTGCCTTCCTTCTGTTTCTTTATCCAGGGTAAAATCTATTGATTGGTACCACCCACACTCAGAGTGAGACTTCCATTATCTACACCCAGAACTGTGACAAACCCAGTTATCACACACCCTTAATCCATATTCACACACCATAGATCTACCTACCTCTGAAAAGCTGCATCTATTAACACATGAGGCTTTGGGAGAGACATCTAGATACAAGCCATAGCACCTGGGTAATGCGTGGTTGTTCAGAGTGTAGCCACAGGTAAGGACTGATACCCAGTCTGAGGCATGCGTGTTTAACTGAGAATCCTTCCATGGGCTGTAGCTACCCAGAGGCTCATATTTATGGATTATGAAACTGACATGCTGCCTGCTGTGCTAAGAAGGTACTAGAGGCTCATATTTATCTAATTCCCATATGAGCTGGTGGCAGTTCTGTACAACTCTTCATTTTATCTTTGACTACCAACCACCCTCTATTCCCACCACAGTTTGATTTGGTTCTTGCTCTTCACCTGCCCCCTTCAACCTACCACAGACTACCCCTCCCAGCCTACTTACCCTTAGCTTAGGATGCAGTCAAACTCCAGGCTCATCCACTGCCAGCCCAGACCTGAACTCATGTAGTCCTCCTGACTTAACAAACATGAAGTCAACCAAATGTATTCCTCCTGCTGCCCTTCTGCATATGAACATCTGTGTATGTGCATGCCAATATTTTCATGCATAGTTTCCAGACAGTCAGATATTGACTACCCACACAAATAGTAGTATTAGCAAGTATCATGCAAAACAGCATATAATCACCAGAGTAGGGCTTTGGATAGCGGACCTTGATATATAATTTTTAATATAGATTTTTCCCACCTTAGATTTATTTGAACTAAAATTAACTTGTATTCTCTGCTTCATTACTACTGAATGAAGTAGGACCGAAAGAAGGTGGGGGAGAATCTATGAGAGATTAAACTGATCAGAAATTAAAGATATGTTTGGAATATTCTGCATGGTGGAATTAGGGTAGAGTCCATAATATTTAAAGCTGTATTTAGGTTACTCTTTCCATTTTAACATACTCACCTTTTTGCAAGCCAAAGCAACTTTTCTTCAAACTTCTTTCTTACTTGTAATAAATTTGTTTCTGTGTATGAGTACGTTTGTGTATTAGTGAAATTTATTCTGTAAAGTATCTAAAATTTCTTATTTTAGGACTAGATAACTTGAATCTCTACACTTCATCTCATTTTTCTGCAGTCTTCAGGGGGAAACATCAGTTTATCAATTTTAGGGTGTTGACTCTAAATATTTATTAAAACTTGTTGAATTACTACAACTACAAGCACAAGTGGAACTTAACATTTTGACTGTTGATTTACAGGGCTAGGTTACTAGTAGAATGGAGCCTTTTCAGTATTTTGTGTTCCCTAGATGTGTGTGTGTGTGTCTCTGTATGATATGTGTGTGTATGTGTGTGAACTGGCACATTTGATCAGAATAATATATATCCACAGAGCAATACTGCTCCACATATGACAGGATTGAGTTCACATACTTGTGAATGGCCAGGATCTGCTGCTTCCTAGGAATGAGACCTTGAACACAAGGCCCACTTCCTTACTTATAGAACAAGGCTCAAAAAGTGCTTATCTAACAAGGTCACTAAGCAAATTGTTAATAATAATATATGTAAAAGATTTAGCAGAGTGCCTAATACATAATAACCACTCAGTGAAATTTTACTTATCATTCTGCTTAAGGATTTGAAAGCAGTTTACCTTATTAAGTAGGCTAATCCACCTAGAATAATTTTTAATAAATGTTCACTTTATACAATATATGCAAGTAAACTTCAAATAAGCCCAGGTAAAATGATCGTAAATTCCATATTCATGATAGTCTAAATAAATGAGTTGTCATTGTTCTATATTATCTGTATTAATACTTCCTTTCATTTGTACAGATAATTGAGAACTGAATGTGTTGAAACAAAAGGTGAAACTTGTAATGCCCAAGTGGTACTTATTTAAGGAGTGATTATGACTAGGAAACAGTCTGTAAAAATAGCTCCTGTCCTCACATCACATCACTTGTTCCCAGGGGGTGCCTTCAAGTCTTCCGGACAAACATGCCTGCCCTCCTGCAGACCCAGGATTCTATTCTGCCTCACACATCCCCAACACAACTGCCAGCTGAGTTCTAATTGCAGAATCTTCATTACCAGGGACGATTGAAACTATAAAAAGAAACCAGCTGAATTTTTCACATCCTGCTGGGTGAGCACAAGGCCTGGCTTTCCTGTTCCTGCCCTCCTCCTTCCCCCAGCAATTATCCCTTCTACATGTGTGATCTGGCTTCTGCCAGAAGCTCTGAGCAATTGATAGATGTTATCTCCCTTCTCCTCCAACCTCCCTCCCCAGGAGGTAGGATGGTGACCATGACAAATATGTCTGACCTTCCTCTACAGCCTCAGAAACAGGAGGTTCATTCATTTCTTAACTTCTTTACCTAAGTTTCTTGTTCAAAGTCACCTAGTGGTGAGTGACCATCGATAACAGACATTTCTCCTAACCTCAGGCTACAAATTTGTCTTTTTCTGTTACGTTTGTTCCATCAGTGAGTATTTATAAAGTACCTGCTGAGTAATCAGGATTGAGTTAATTATGGTGAAGGGGAATATCCAGAAGCAAAAGGATACCAAGCAATTAAAAATCCAGTTGGAAGGCAAAATTAGATAGGACACCTCCTCGTTTTGTAGCTAATAACTTTTTGAGAATCAAGGGAGTGATTTTTGCAAATTTTATATAAAATTTATCCAAACTTTTTTCAATCTATGTGGGGGGGGCTTGTCTTGATATCAAGAAAAAGAAATGTCTGGAAGAGTGTACATCAGAAAGTTAAAGAAAACTATCTGAGGCACTATGTAAAAGATAATAGAGAAACTGGTCCTTGAAAACACAATGAAACTGTCTGGGTTTGAATCCCAGTTTTACCACTGACTATGCTCCCTTGTCACTGCTATATTGGACTCTCTGAGTTTCTATTTTCCTATTTATAAAATGGGATGGTAATTGAAGTATCTTATTGAGTTATTGTGAGGATTAAATAGTAACGAATATTGCACATGCAAGTGCTCAATAAATATAACTCTCTAATGATGAAATATTGGAGGAGGAGAGCCATGGGAAAAGAAGTCTTGGAGAAGGTGAGACATAAAATGGTCCTGGATGAATGGAAGATTGGGATAGTCAGACAGGAAGGCTCGGAGCATTTGGGATTAGGAAAACTTCTTGATGGAAGGCAGAGACAGAAGTCTCAGCTGTTCTCCAAGAGAGAAGTTTGTGTGTGAAATGAGAAATAGAGTTGTTTAAGAAGGGGAAATATAGTAAGGGGCCTCAAAGAAAGCAGTCAGCTTCACATATACAAAGCCTCTCATCATTAACACTCCCACCAGAGTAGTACATTTGTTCAGTCAGTGGTTGATACATCATTATCACCTAGGATCTGTAGTCTACATTAGAATTCATTCTTGTTTTTGTGCATTACATGGGCCTAGACAAATGTATAATGATTGGTGGTTGGATGTTTTGAAAAAATTTTTTGCTTCTGCCCAACAAAAAGAGACACAGCCGTGAAGATAATGAATCAAATAAACCAACACAATCTCTGGCAGATAACATCTTCAACAAGATCATGTTACAAAGGTATTCCCATGAACTTCAAAACATCAAATAATGGGGTCAACCAAGTAAATTTACCTTACTGGTGTCAACAACTATCCAGATGGAAGCAGAGGGAAGACAAAAAATATAGGACAGTTTTGGGGGGCTAGGAAATTCATTGATACTCATAAATACCCAGCCTTAAAAGGAGAACATTCATCAAAGGCAACAAATTGAACAGACCCAGCTGAGATTGCAAGGCTCCAAATGATGGTTTTTAGTTGACAAGAGGTCAACTCTCCTGCCACAGGAAAAGTCAAAACAGAAGAAAATTTTTAAAATGACTTTGTCCGTAGAAAACTGCCTGCATGGATCATTGCCCATTCCACCATTACTGAGAAAGAGGAAAATTGAATTCAAGGCCAGCAGAGGGGCCATATATTAACATTATGCGATTCTGGAAGGCTGCTGTGAGGACGAATGAGTGGATAATAGCAAAATCAAAGAAATATCTGGATGTCCCTTCCTCCTGCCTTCCTGTCAAGCAAGTAAAATGCCTAAAAAATAACTTAAGCCAGTGTCTAGGACAAAAGTATGAGGATATTTACAGTGTTGGGAGAAGGCTGCTTTCTGAAGAGAAAGCAATCAGGATGGTCAAACCAGGCACTGATCCACAGAGTCTCTACCCTCGAATGCCATCCCCATCCTCATTCCTTAAAATCAGCAGCAATGACACAAATAGGAGTCTGAATTTAGACTTCTTCCCTCTAAGCCTAATATCTGCAAAATAGCTGCCGCCTACAAGGGAAAATGGAATAACAGCACATACAGACACAGACACACACACAAATACAACCAGACAACTGAGGAGTGTGACCACTAATTAAAGTAAGGTAATAAACTTAACTGTCCGTACTACACAGGACAGCTTTTAAAAAATTGAAATAATCATGACATATAATATCACAGAGAGATAAGATACTGTTAACATTGAGTGAATACCATAACTTTTTAAAAGTTTTAAATAAAAATAATAATAACAGTTTAATTAAGGAACTTAATTGAAGAGAGAAATAACAGAATGAATACAAATTTGAATTTGTGAACCACAGATAGGTTTGAGGAACTATCTCACAAGGTATCAAAAAGAAATAAAGTGAAGAAAAATAGAGTAGTAAAATAGAGTAGCAAAATAGTGTAGGAATGAAAGAAAAAAGGTAACAGAGGAAGACTGATCACACCTCTCACAGTGCACAATTGGCCCCCTTTTACATTGATGCAGAGCTTGACCCTTCTTCTTACTTTGACCAATGGGCTAGCAATAAACATGATGCAAGCAAAACATATGTTAAGAATTTGTGTCTTAGGGGTAAGATGAGATAAATATGCTTACTTTGACAAATGGGACATCAGAGAAATTGAAGCAAACACGGACTTAGTAAGGACTTGTGCTAAACACTGCCCTCTTCCCATGAGGAAGCCTAGGCCAGCCTCCTTGAGGATCAAAGACAACATCAACAGACCCAGTCATCCCAGATATCCAGATGAGCTCGGATTCCTGGATTCTAAAACCTAAAAGCTGCCTTATGATTATGCCCCCGTGAAATCAATAGAATCATCTAGCCAACCACAGAATCATAAGGAATTATTGTTTTAAGCCACAGAGTTTTGAAAAAATTTATTATACATGCAACAATAAAAAAATTCACGTGGGAGATGAGATACTATCCTAAATAATAACCTAAAGTCTCTAGACTAAAAGATGTTTGACTGAAATAAAAAACATTTAAATGGAAAGGCTAATACAATTGCCAAAAAAAAAAGAAATTCATCTGAGATTTGTAGTATGATGTAAAAACTTCAAATTCCAAAAGACAATTCTAAATCATACAGAAAGAAATGTGACTTGAAAAGTAACATGAATAAGTTTTATCAAAGTTCTTAATCATGACACTAAAACTAAGAAACCAATGAAGCATTATTTTCAAAGTAAAAAATAAAAGGACTTCTAATCTACAGCCAAATCATCTTATGTGAGGAATCAATAAGGATATTTTTGGATAAGCATGCCCATAGTGACTTTAATATAGGACATTAGGGCATGGCAAAGCTGGTTGGGGAAGTAGGCATGACTTGTTAATTACAAAATCCCAGAACACATGTGCTGAACAGTTCCCAAAGCCCAGCATGTGGACTTCTAGCAAGAACTGAGCAGGTTTTCCACAGGATGGCCTGGACCTGATATTCGCCTGAAGTGTGAGATCCCAGCACCATTTCTCAGGACCCAAATATAGAAGTTCTCATGAGTTTCCTTGAGATTTGAACAGTATAAAAGGGCATAAATGCCAAAAAGAACTTCCTATCATGGTTTTCCTCATGACAGCCTCCCCTGCTTTCTCCAGGATGTATTTTTAATCTTGCGTTTTCCTCTTTTATTTGACCCAAGCTCACTCTGCAGAGCCAGTTTCCCCCTCACTCTTCACTTTTACTTTTTCAAATAAACTTTGTTACTGCTTTTTGCTTGTTTCAGTTAATTCTTTGTTCAAGACGAGAAGAACCTGGAATTCAGCTCCAGGAGAGGTGAGCAACCCAAACCACGATGTTTAATTGGTGAGCCACTTTTAGGAGCTACCCAATAATACAACAGACACTCTAAAAAATGTTTCTAACCAAAGTTGGGTGTAGTAGTAAACACCTATAATGCTTACATTTGGGAGACTGAGGAGGATTGCTGTGTGTTTGAGGCCAGCCTGAATTACATAGTGAGATCGTAAAAAAAAAAAAGTTCCTGCCTGAAAACTAAGTTCATTTATCAACCCAAAAACTTAAAAAAAGAAAGAAAAAGCCCAAAACCAACATTTTTTCTTTAAGAAATGTATAAGTTTGACAAACCATTGGCAAGAGTAATAAAGGAGGAAATGTAAGAAGATTCAAAGAAATAAAATGCATTTAAAAAGGGGAAATAACTGGAGACAATATAGATTTTAAATACAATTGAAAGACCATGATGAAGACCTATGTGCTCATACATTTGACAACATAGATGAAATGCCTCAAGAAAAATTATAGAGGCAAAAAGAAATGAAAAATATGGATCAACCATTATAAATTAAAATAGTCATCAAGAATTCACTACCTAAATGCATATATACACATGTGCACATGCAATTCAGATAAATTTTGCCAAATTTTTAAGAAATAATCACGTTTTACCAAAGATTCCTCAAAAATTCTCAAGAATTGAAAGCTATCCAATTTTATGAAGCATATATAATCCAGGTTCCAATATTAAAAGAATACAAAAAACATCCTCTATGCCAACAAGAATGAGCTGAAAAATATTTAAAAAGATACTATTTACAATAGCAAGAAAGTAACAAATAAACTAAGGATTAACCTAAGGCAGGAAAATTCATAGGGAAAATTTCTAAACTCTATTAAGACCATAAATGAGTATGCACAAATAAAATGATATACCATGTTCACGGATGGAAAAATTCAAAATTATAAAGAGGTTATTTCTCCTTCAAATTAATGTACCTAATGTAACTTCAACAATATTTTAAGATCTTAAATATGTGTGTATATAAGAAAGGCCCATAAGTAATAAAGCAATTTTGAAAATAATGAGTGAATATAAAGAAAGAGTAATGAAATGAGAGAAATATGGCAGAGTTCACTGTGCAAAAGTTAAGTATATAATATAAAATTGTAATAATAAATAAATATATTGATGTAGGGACAGATGGCTTCTAGAAAGGAAAAAAAATAGGCTTCATTAAAAATTAATAGAGAATTTTACTAAAAGTAGCTTTTGCTGCTACAGGCTACAGGTAGACTCTACACTTAGAGCAATTAGACAAAAGAGAGAAACTACACCCAGAGAGGTGCCTTGTAATGCAATTCCCGTAAGAATTTATCAGAAAGAGTTGACAAAACAAGGAGGAAGCCAAAAACATAAAAGACCAGGGAAACCAGCCCCCTCAACCACCTCTGATAAAATGCAAAGGAGATAAGGGGCAGCCACCTAAGAACTCTTATTTAATGTGTAAAGTACACACACCTACACATATACCCATGTATAGTCTCACTTTCACATCACTATATTATTGCACCAGATGCACACATGTCCCCTTTACTTAATCATTAACTCGAATTTACCTTTCTATAAGATTCCCCCCAACACACAAACACACATTTATCCATGACAAAAGAACAGGAAGAAATCAAATGACCAGAAAGATCCCCCCCACACACACACAAACACACATTTATCCGTGACAAAAGAACAGGAAGAAATCAAATGACCAGAAAGAATATAGACAGAGGTACCCAAGGTTAGGATCAAAGATGGCCAGATGGCATCAGATGGCAACAACTTCCAGGTGCCCATGTGGGGAATGGGAGAAATCACTAGTCCTAAGTAAAAAGGAGCCGAGGACAAAATCCCACAGATGTTCACTGTCTGCTGCTCCTTACTCTTTCAGAGTAGCTGTCTATCTTCTCTTTTTTCACCCTTTCCCAAATAAATCATCTTCTTTTATTTTAATCTCTGCTTCTTTGATTCATTACTGTCACAGAGTTTATGATCCAAGTAGGATCCTGTAGCTGCATGTTCCCAGCAGAGAAGTGGTATGGCATGGCATAGTGTACCGCTCCCCTAGATGTGACATTTATTTAAACTAGGAAGGAAAACACATAATAGTGGCCTGGATATAGAACAGTTTAAATCTCAGATAACTGCAAGCAAGAAATGATGAGGTTCAGCACTGTGTTGGTAGAATATCAGTGAAAAGAGCCTTTTTATTAAAAAGGCAGAAGGAATTTCTGACTGAATGGATATAGAAGTTAAGGAAAGAACATTGAGCACTATGATGGGAGATTAGATTGGTAAAATGAGTTAAAGGTAGACTATGGAGGTCCTTTTACCTTAATCTTGAAAAGGTTAAATGTTGGGGGACCATAGAAAATGAATCAGAAGAGAAGTAGACCAATTAGAACAATTGAAAAAACACAAACTAATTTTTGCAATTAATTTTCAGGCAAGGAATGATGAGGAACTAAACAAACTCTGTGCAAATTGGGAGTGGAAAGGGTGGGTGAAACTAGGGGATAATAAAAATGCTGAATCTGAATGACTTGGTAGTCTGAAGTGAGTGATAAATAGGGAGAAGGGCTCAAGAAATCTCTCAAGTTTCTAGTTTTGTTAGGAGGTAAGTGGTAGCAGCCTTAACCAAGATAGAAAGTTCAGGGGGCACTGTTTTAGCCAGAAGTTAATTTAATTTTGAATATATGTTTGGCTGCTTCCAATTACAATACATATAGCTAGTGGATAATTGGGAAGGACCCTCTGGACCTTGAGAGAGGACATGACTAAGAATACCAGATCAATTATTTAACCAGAATTTGGGAAAGTAACTAAAGCTATAATATATCCAAAATTTCACAGAACTGAATGTGTAAATGATATTTCCAAAGACAGAATTCAGTCCTATTTTTGAGAGGCATGGGGGATGCTGGGAAAAGCACAGCCACATTTGGCAACTGTCAGATCACATCTGCTTTCTGTGGCATGGTTTCCTTACTGACTGACAATCAGAATATGTAAATATATGTAACACGTCAAGCAGACAAATCCACTCTGCTCAGATCTGCCTAAATATTTAGACACAGACAAGCAGTGACAGAAATTACTGAGAAATTGAAATTTCAATCATTAAAGGTGATCAGTAAAACAGAGAACAGCTCTCATTCCATCTTGACTCCATCATCAGACTTGTGATTGGCTTGTTGCTTCCAGAGTGAGGAAAGGACTATTCAACAAGGTAGAAGGTTCTCTAATTGAGTGATTGTATGTTAGCACTTCATTTTCCTCTGTGAATTTTCTTCTCGTGGTGTTATCAAAAATTTCCTGGCTATGCCAAAATGTTATCGGTTAGCTCCTTCTAAAATTGGCTCACCAAATAAACATTACCAGGTTCTTGGTTGCTCATCTCTCCTTCTGGTGTTGGATTCCAGGTTCTTCTTGTCTCAAACAAACAATTAAACAAAGGTAGCAAGAAGCAGTGGCAAAGTTTATTTGAAAAAGTAAAAGTGAAGAGTGAGGGAGGGAGAAAGTGGCTCTACAGAGTAAGCTTGGTCTGAGTAAAAGAGAAAAAAGCAAGATAACACCCTGGAGAAAGCAGTGTAGGCTGCGGTGAGGAAAGCCATGGTAGCAAGCTCTTCTTGGTAGCTGTGTCCTTTTACACTGTCCAAATCTCAAGGAAACCTGGGAGAACTTCTACATACAGGGCCTAAGAGGTAGTGCCGGGATCCCACACCTCAGCTTGATATCAGGTATAGACCGTCCTATGTAAAACCTGCATCAGTTTTCTAGAGAAGTCCATGTTCAAGGGTTTGGGAACTGTTCTATGCATGTGTTCCAGAATCTTGTACTTAATAGGTCATGCCTATTTCCCCAGCCAGTTTTGCCATGCCCTAATCTCCTATATTGATGGCATCCATTGTAAAGTAAATTGGAGAAGTGAGCAAAGGGCAGGGCACAAGTGAAGTTAAGAGAACATAAAATTTAACATTAAATATAAAGTTGAGTTCAAGTTACAGCTCCATGCGTCCCTACCTGTTTGACACAGCTCCATGAATCTGTTCTTTTGTTGTTGTTATTGTTGTTCTTAGTACATGTTTTTAGTACATGAAGTTTATAGTCATCTTAGGGAGTAGATACATGTACATAACATATCTTAATTCTTTTTTTATTCCCCTTCCCATCCATCTCCTTCCCTCTGTCTCTAGATCTCATTTCTCCATTTTCATTATTATTGTTATTATTATTATTATTATTATTGAATTTAGTTCATGTTTATGACACATAATGTTTTCATTCATTGTGGGTACTTGGTACGTGTACATGACACATCTTAAATAGTTTTACCTCTCCTTCCCCTCCCTGCTCCTTGCCCTTGGTCTGTTGGACCCCTTCCCATTAGTTCATTATCTATTTCCCTATTTTCTTCTATCAGCCCTTTATTTTGCTCTTTATTTATACTTTGCCTTTCTCAAGTGAGATATACCATGTTCTTATCTGTAGAATAAGAATTTGTTCCTGCCCAATTTACAGCACTGGACACATGGGAGTCAAGAGCCAAAGTACAAGGGCTGAACGAAAAATGTAGGGTGCATTTAAAATTTTTAAAGTATGACCATAAAAGACACACTGCCATCAGTCCTTCTCAAAATATTCCCTGTCACTTCAAACACACTTATCCCATCATTCTTGACACTTTCTGAAGCACTTCTGGAAGTCCTCTTTCATTTCTTTTTGAGATATGATTTTAAAAATATGGTAAACGCTGCTACTGAGTGCCATCCAGTGGAAAGGAAGGCTCATGAAAACATTACAGTGTGTCCTCATCCATCTTATTCACTAGATCTGACACCCTGAGACTTTTGGCTCTTCCCTAAAATCAAA